TCATCTTGGAGTCAGTTTACATTGACTATTCTTTCTCTTGATGGACCACATTGTCCCATTTCTTCTCTTGACTGTGGATCACATTTTCCTGCTCTTCTCATTCCTGTAATTTTTGATTGTATGTTGGGCATTGTGGATGATACAGTGTTAGAGACTCTAGATTCTTTTACCTTCCTCTGAAAAGCGTTGAGTTTTGTTCTTGCAGGTAATTAATTTGGCAGGATTCAAATTGTATCTCCAATGGTAGGCAACAGCTGAATACCCTGCTTAGTTCTTTCAGCCTTTCAGCTGTTTGTTTTCTGCCAGTCTCCTTAGGGTCTCTCATGTAGATTCGTAATTCAGGGATCAGCCAAGGACTTGGCAGAATTTACATATATATTTTGGGGTGCCCCCTTCTGGGGTTCACTTCTGTGATGTTCCCCCTCACTTTTCAGTCTAGAAGCTCTGAACACTGCCCTATTCCTCAAACCAATTTTACTGTAGCTTTCTCCTTGAGTTCTAGCTATTCTCAACTGGTGGGCTAAGAAATACCTTCAGGCAAAAAACCCATATAAACACAAATTCAGCCAGTGCCGTTCCTTCTTTCAAGTGTCATCTTCTTTCTGGTTTGTCTGCTTATGGTTTCCTTCAGATAGTTGTTTTTATGTTTTGTTCTGAACTCATTATCTGTAAGAGAGTTAGTCTGACACAATTATTCCTCCATTACCAAAAACAGAACCTACACTTTTTAAAAATATACAAAATAAACATCAATTCTGTAAATTGTTGCCAGTAAATTAATTATTTCAGCAAATACCTACCAAATGTTTACTTTGGGCTAGTTACTGTTCTAGTACTGGGCGCTAGAAAGCATTTCAGATATAAGATTTATATTAGCTTGCAGTCAACTTAAACGGGCCTTTTTGTTAAACCTCAAGATAAAATGTTATTCAGAGACACTTGCAATCCCTTCCCCCAAAATGAATATAATAAACATACATTAACTTGTTATGTCATAAATACTTTACATTTATGTGGTGCATTTTTTTTTTCAGATTTCTGAGGCCAAAGGCATTTGCAGTTGAGTTTAATAACATCAATATTGGTTGCAGTTAAAAAGCCCCAACTTTCTTCAGCTAGCTTGCAATTTGTCAAAATATTTTTTTCATACAAATCCCTGGGATGGAGCCACTCTCTTGCAACAGTGACATCTCTGTCATTTCTTGATCTGGAAAATAAGAAACTTTGGAACTAGAAACATCAAAAATAAAAGACGTGAAAAGCACAGTGGTCCTTCAGTATCAAATTTGGTGCTGAACGGCTGCCAATAACCCCAGACAGTGATTGGCTTCCCCTTTGACTTATTACCTTCCTACCTCAGGTGTGGAATGCTGCATAAATGGCTTTAGCTTTTCACTATATCTAAATAAAATAAAGGTCAGCATAGACTCCAGTGCTAAAGGTCACTCATTTATTTTGGGGCGAGAGGTCCAGGATAGAAGAAAGACGACCTGCTGCTGGAAGTTTCCATGTTCTTCCACATCCTTAGCTCTTGGCTTAATTCATCATCCCCACTCTCAAATCCTCAGTCAAGACGTGTCTCGCCCAAAGAGACTGATAGGAGGCTGAAGAGCGACAAAAAGACGGGTGAGAAATGCTTCTTGCTTTGTAGTTTTGTGTGAGTCTGGCTCTGGATTTATTAGGGTGTCAAGTGGGAAACCGTTTAAGACTAAGCTCCAGTCCCTCTTCTATGAGCCTCACTATTTTGCATACAGGTTGGATATAAGCCAGGTGTCCTTTTTAATTCCAGTTCTCCAGCACCTATTCCTATTCTGTCATTAGAATCAAATAGCCTATAGAGGATGACATATGGCTAGCACAGAGTTTGTCCTCCGCAACTGTGTGTTGAATGAATCACCTGGCTCCCTGTAATATGCTTTGGTCCCTTCTCTCTCTCTTTTATAAAACAATAAATCTATTTATTTATTTATTTATTTATTTATTGGCTGCCTTGGGTCTTCGTTGCTGTGTGCAGGCTTTCTCGAGTTGTGGCGAGTGGGGGCTACTCTTCGTGGTGATGCGTGGGCTTCTCATTGCGGTGGCTTCTCTTTTTGCAGAGCACAGGCTCTAGGCGCGTGGGCTTCAGTAGTTGTGGCTCACGGGCTCTAGAGTGCAGGCTCGGTAGTTGTGGCGCATGGGCTTAGTTGCTCCACGGCATGTGGGATCTTTCCGGACCAGGGCTTGAACCCGTGTCCCCTGCATTGGCAGGCGGATTCTTAATCACTGTGCTATCAGGGAATCCCCCTTCTCTCTTTAATTATATTTTCTAAGATACATTTATTCTTTTTAAAAAATTTTTATTTTATATTGGAGTATAGTTGATTTACAATGTTGTATTAGTTTCAGGTGTACAGCAAAGCAGTTCAGTTTTACATAGACATATATCCATTCTTTTACAGATTCTTTTCCCATATGTTATTACAGAACATTGAGTAGAGTTCCCTGTGCGGTACAGTAGGTCCTTGTTGGTTATCTATTTCATATATAGTAGTGTGTATATGTTAAACCCAAACTCCTAACTTATCCTTCCCCCACCCCTTTCCCCTTTGGTAACTGTGTTTGTTTTGTAAATAAATTCACTTGTATAACTTTTTTAGATTCCACATATAAGTGATATATGAAATTTGGTGATTATTTTATATATAGTACTGATACATTTATTCTTAATATCTGACATTATTTTTATTACCATTTTCTCTCTTATTTTTACTCAATACTTAAATATATTTCCGACATTACAGCAATTTCACCCTAAACTCTGCATCTCGTTTTCTGCTGAATCCTATCAGGAGCTCCACCTGAAACGGTGTGGGGTCATTAGCAAGCATCTGTGCCCCTTGGAGCAGCAGGCTGGGCCCAGCTGTGCACCCAGGGAGGCTGCCCCTCCATGCTTACCGCGGAGCATCTTATGCAGTTAAAGAGAGAAATGAGGAAACAGAGAACACAAATGTTACTGACCTGTTTATCAGTCATGCCTTTTTTCTTCCAAAGAAAAGAGTTCCATCGAACCCTTGGTGGATTCAGGGGCAGAAGCAGGACAATCAACTGGTGTCCCTTTGAAGTGTGGCTGCAGGGCATCCCCCGCTTTCCCAGCTCAGCTGTGGAAGCAGAGAAGAAACTTCAAAGGCGGACTTGCTGTTGATCCTGCTGGTGGAGGCGTGACTCCCATCAGCGGGCTTTAGAGAAGAAATGAGGAGGAATCTTCCTCTCTCACTTGCCAGAGTTCCACTCTCACCAAATGATCTGTGAGGTTTTAGTCGTGACTGTCTCTGTCTAGTGGATGCAAATAAAAAACCATCACGTCCATTTCGTTGTAATTGATGTTTATTTAGGTACACTGTACAAATCAGCTGGGACAGCCAGTTTTCGTAATTTGTCCAGATTTGTGCCACACATCAGGGACAGGAGGTAAACCGCCCCCGCTCCTGATTACATGAGAGCAAAGCAAAGTTTAAGAAGACTGTCCCCTTGCTGCTCTGCTATCCCCAGGCCATAACTGTTAACTGTTTACAATCCTTCCGTCCGAGTATTCATTCTACATACAGGCGGTGCGTTCAAACTCATCTGTGAGTTAAGAAAGAATTATTCCATTTGGTCAACAATTCACCTTGTACAATATATATATATTTGAAAAGATTTAAATTTTAAAAGTAAATGCAATTTCCCTGAAATGATTTTATTTGGTCTAAACTTTTTCATTTATATTCTTTACTTCATAATTATAAAGGAAAAGGCAATAATACTCGAAACATTAACTCTAACTCTTAAAATTATAGTTTTGATTCAAAAACGAATTTATGGACAGTTACATGGACAGTTGAACTTCTCTGCCACTATCCCCAACCGGCTTTTATTTAAATAAATATGAAAAACTGGGCAAAAACATTTCAATGTACAGTACAAAAATGATACAAGACATGAGAGTCTGCAGGGAAGCTTATTATACTAAAAAAGCCTAAGAAACCATACAGTTACATTAAAGACTGACGGTCACATGACCCCAAAGCAAGCCGCCGACACCAGTCAGAGGTGCCCATGTATTCTGCAGTGTAGCCCCAGCACGGCCATAAGAAGACTCTTCTGGTGGAAGAAACTCCTGGGAATACAATTAAGGGGAACAAACTCCCGTCACAGAAAATTTCTACAGTTAGCAGGGGGGTGCGCATCACAATTTCACAACGCAGAAAAGATAGTTTACTGTGCAAATTCTGAAGCAGCAAAAACGGTTAATTCGGTTAGAGGTAACAAAGCCATAAGAACACACGTTAGTCCGTCATCCATATTATATTTATCCCAGAACACAAACGAAGAGGAAATTATTCCAATGATTAGATTTTTATTTTTATTTATTTATTTATTTATTTTTTTGGCGCTACGTGGGCCTCTCACTGTTGTGGCCTCTCCCGTTGCGGAGCACAGGCTCTGGGCGCGCAGGCTCAGCAGCCATGGCTCATGGGCCCAGCCGCTCTGCGGCATGTGGGATCTTCCCGGACCAGGGCACGAACCCGAGTCCCCTGCATCGGCAGGCGGACTCTCAACCACTGCACCACCTGGGAAGCCCTAGATTTTTATTTTTTAAGTTGGCAAAAAAGTTCCAAAGTGGCATCAGCTCCAGACTCTTGCTTCCAAAGATGTGTTTTTATTTCCTGATTGTATCCTGAAGGGATCAAAGTCTTCAGAAGGTAAAGTCACCATCTCTGGTGATAGTCTATCTTCCTAGGTACGTGCAGACTCTCTGTGTTCAGGCCTTTTGAGGAATTTCTGATTTGTGGAACAAATGATTTGGAGATGAGGTTTAAAAAAGTAAAACAAAACACACCAAAAAATTGGGGAAAAGTCACACATAAAATGATTTTATGGAGACAGAAGTTTAAAAAAAATGCTGCTCATGATTTGGCAGCACGAGGAGACTGCACTCTTGAACAACGATCATTCCT